GACCTCACCCCCTAGTGACTTCAAGCTTTCTCAATGAAGCAGCATATCCCACCCTCGTTGCCACTGTTATAGCTTCGGTTCTTTAGACATTGAATGAGGCAGAGTGTTGAAACAGCAAACAAGTTTATTAACTCAGAACAGAAGCAGCCCTAAAGGCTTGCTGCACAGCTATTTATATAGTTAGCCTCTAGGTGGCAACCAATAGGTTTAAAGTAACAGTTTCCCGCCCCAAACTTCATTATCAGCTTGGAGACAACCAGTCTGGCTTTCAGTAATAGCAACTGTTAAACAATACAGCAATGTAGGTTAGACATTAAGCAAGTGATTTAAAACAGTTGTGGCCAATACATTACACCTTACATTTATGTTTAAACCTTAATTTCCATGGCAAAATCTCAGGTCCTTCATGGTTGGAGACGAGGACCAGAAAAATCCCACTGAGCCCAGGCTATGTGCACTATTAGCCATTGTATAAACAAGTGCTAGATTTAGATTCAGAAATTTTTAACTGTGTGGGATTTAGCGCCAGAAGGTTTCACGAGATTTGCAAAAAGTTGGCAACATGAATGTTTTGTTTGTTTATTCGGTATATAATGATTTGAATGTCCCATACTTAACTTTACTGTGTGACTGGGCTAAATCACTGAAAGAGATTTGGCCACAATGTCAGGTTCCATGTCCTTGTGGGGACTTAAAATGGTAAGTAAAGAGAACTATACATACAAGCCCTGCTTCTGTGACTCCCATCTGTTTTTTCTCTACAGCCTCTTTGTGAAACCAGGAAGAAAGCTGCACTCACTTTTCCTTGAATGCAAGAACAGCTCTCTGTAAGCCATGATATTACTAAAGCATTAATTCAGATTCAAGTGAACACAAATAGTTTTATGGCTGGGGAGAGTTCAAATGCAAAGCAAGCAGGACATAGCAAGGGCCAGTGTGTCGGACAGTATTTCTTTGGTGCATTCAAGTGAGAGATGAACTGGTACCTTGGCACAAAAAGCAGCAAAGTAGCACCAATAAGAGAAGAATTCAGTTCGTTAAGAAAAACACAGATGGCACAGAGAAGTAGGTTGAATGTGCTAGGGAATAAATGTCCTAAATCTGGCAACATAAAACATTTTCAAGCAGCTGTGAATTTAAGACATAATAACATGCGGCTTGTGTGCTCAGGAAAACAGAATTTTTTTTAGTCAGGGGTTGAGAGGCTGAGCTATTCAGAAAATACTTGGTTTATCCAGCCAAGTTACATAAATAAATATTCAGAGACGGTCAAGGTTGAGGCAGACCTCAGAAAGTCCATTAGGCTATGATAAAACAGGGAAGTTAAACAACAGGAACAGCATACAGGGTATCTAAAATTACACAAACGCTCCTTTTGGTGACGAGAGGCATCTTCCTATTGATACAATTTTCAACAAGAAGCATACTGTGTTCCTCCATTTATGACTTCCAGTATTTCTAAGCAAGGTTGTTAAGTGAAATCTGGCTTCCCCCACTGAGTTTGCATTTTGGAAGCTGGCTGGAAAAGTCATACTTGGTGATCATATGACTCCAAGATGCTGCAACCCTCATAAATACATGCTAGTTGCCAAGTGCCCAGACTTTGATCATGTGACCAATAGCATACTGCAATGTTCATAAGTAGAAGAAGTGGTTGTAAATCACTTTTTTTCAGTGCTGTTCTAACTTGGACCAGTTGCTAAACGAATGATTGTAAATGGAGGACTACTTGTACAATGCTTGCATCTGCTTCTACCATTTTTACTTTCCGGCATTTTCTTTCTTTTGGATGGGGCTAAGAATGGGGTGCTCATCCAGTGCATCAATAATAAATGTAAATGTAAATAAATATTAATAAATGTATTTTCCATCTTGCTGCATGGGTAACATCCTCTTGTGCTGGAAGTTTTTAAATATGCAGATGGTCCTTGAATTTAGCTTTCTGCTGCTATTGCTGCTGCTTCTTTGAAAGAGCAATATATCAGGATGGGGATGATGCGAAAGAGGCCAAGAGCCATCTTGGACAATTCTTGGAGTTGTATAGCAGACGATTTGTCCATGAAAGGTCCCAGGACAAATAAGAGGATGTTAAGATATTTAAATTTAATAGCTGGAACAGTGGAGATGTACAATGAGTCAAAACACAGAGTTATAGCTGATTGGTTGGAGCGAGTTGGCTCCTGCATGAGGCAATCTATGCTGTGATTGGTTGCTGTGGGTAAAAAAGTGCTCTGTGATTTACCTCATGATGCTCCTGTTTGCCTTGTTAGCTGTAAATATATTCATTTATATAAAACAACCTTGTTCGTGCCCACATCTCTGACTTCATTTGGACACCTGCTGCACAATTCCCTGACAGAGCATTTGTGGTTTTTAAGTAGACAAACCAAGGAGTGATGAAATTCAGAAAAGGATGGAACAAAGACGTGAAAAGTTTGATTGTGAGAAAGAAGAATTCCAAAGAGAGTCTGAGCTACTTGAAAGAATTAACCCAAGTTGGTTAAGCTTGGAGCTCTGCTTCCTGAGGGAGAATTGAAGATAAAGAAGAACAGAGGGTATGATGAGTCATGCCTTGGTGCTCCAACTTGCTGATTTGTTTTGTGATGCAGATGTTTCAGGCCTGGGCTGAGTCTCCTGCCAAAGTGCCAGATTTGCTAATTTAATAATGTTCTTGTGGGTTGCCTGATTGTGTGGTGATTACTTTGTGAGAAAGATCTGTTTTTTAAAGGCATCCTTCAAAAACAATGCTGAAAGACTTTGATATATAAGGATAGAACAATTCTGTTATTGTTTAAAAGAAACAGACACTCACTTTCAGTGGCCAAAGAAAACAGGAGAGGGAGAAATCACTCATTTTAGGCTTTTAAGCACTGGGTGAAGATTTGGGTCAAGTTTCAGGATGGTTTCTTGACCCTCTAATTACTATTATTAATGTTCTTAACAAGACTCTTTAGAAAATCCTCTTGGTAAAAAGAGCCAGAGTGAGCTAATGAGTAGGAGAGGGAGGAGAAGGTCCTTGCTGGCATTATAAATACTCCAGCTTGCTAATTGGGGGGCTAAGATGAGATTTCTCTCTTTGGAAGAAAGAGAGAGAGAGAGAGAGAGAGGAGGGGGAGGGAGAGAGAGAGAGAGAGAGAGAGAGACTAGGAAAATGAATAAGAACAATATTGGTTTTTAGGGCTGACTTGTTACTTTTAAATATGCCCACTGCTACTTTGATATGGCACTGGACATATTTTAAAGTAACAGTAGGTAACTCGATCCTCCCTTTGGGCTCCTGCACGATTTAGGTTTTTCCAAGAGCTTTTCCAAGGCTCTCAACTTTCATGAAGAATAATAATCTTTGATTGAATCGGGCAACAGGCATCTCTCATTTTCCAACCCAAAGAAAAATCTGAGAGACAGGAGACCTTGCATCCATTGTTGCATTACTGTCCCATAACTTGAGCTGCCTCCACACTGATTTTACTCTGAAGGTGAGCAGTCTTTGAGGAGAGCTTTGAGAGGTAAAGGAGATAGTGAAAAACAAATGTGACATTCAAGATGGAACAACACATTGTCTATCTAATAAATTCAGTCAGATCTTGTAGGAAAAAAACCCATTAGGGGAGATAGTTTATTTTGGTGTAGTTTGGAGTAGTAGTGGTTGATGTAGTGGTTAAGGCATCAGGCTAGAAACCAGGAGACTATGAGTTCTAGTCCATCTTAGGCAAAACGTCAGCTAGGTGTTCTTGGGTCAGTCACTTTCTCTCAGTCCTACAAATGAGGCAATAGCAAACTACTTCTGAAAAACCTTGTCAAAACAACCACAGCGCCTTGTCCAGGCAGTCTCCAAGAATCAGAGATGAATAGAACATAGAACATAGAATAAAAGAGTTGGAAGGGACCTTGGAGGTCATCTAGTCCAACTCCTTGCACAAGAAGGAGATCTATACCATTTCAGACAAGTGGCTGTCCAGTCTCTTTTTGAAAACCTTCAGTGATGAAGCACTGACAACTTCTGAAGGTAAGGTTTTCCACTGGTTAATTGTTCTCACTGTTAGGAAGTTTCTTCTTAATTTCAGGTTGCTTCTCTCTTTGATTAGTTTCCATCCATTGGTTCTTGTCTTGCCTTCTAGTGTTTTGGTAAATAGTTTGCCCCCCTCATCTTTGTGAAAGCACCTCAAATACTGGAACACTACTATCATATCATCCCTAGTCCCTAGTAATGAACAGAAGGGAAAAATACTTTGGGACAGAAAAATATTGAGCATTAAAGAAATTCTTCCCTTCATTTTTTCCCTAAAATTTATAATTCTCTCTTTGTCTACAGCCCAGATTATTGTCTTTTTCTTTTTTTGTCACAGCTGTTCTTTATTGGTAAAGCTTTGGAGGTCACAGACATAAGATTAGCTTTTCCCAGGTTTTGCCAAGTCTTATATTAAAATCATAGTTGTCATAGTCTTCATCCACCACTGGTGTCAGCAACTATTTGTTTTTCAATTTCCAAAATGGACAATTATCTTTAGAATGAGAGTCTTAACAATTCAAACAATTTCAGATTTATCCAGATTTAAGTTTTAAATTTCAGGTTTTATATTTATTTCACTTCCATATATTTTGATTTTCCAAAAAAGATTAATTTGCCCCTTTCGTTAGTATAAGGGTGGGGCGGAAATCCCCCTCCTTCCCTTTTGAAGGTATTTTGCTCCTTGGGGATCTTTTCCAGGAAATTAAATATAGAATAGAAAAGAGAAAATCGAATTCCTCAGCCAGTTTCAAGCACACTGTTCACAGTTGTGCTGGTTAATACTTTTGGACTTCAGTTGCTAGTAGCTTGGGCTGGTCGATGCAATACGGCCAGCCTTTCTCCTGTCGGGTTAGAAGGCTTTCCCCAAGTCGAATGGAATGGCCGCTGCCATTCCAGAATTGATGAAGCACCCTTCTTTCTTTGCTGCCTCTCCAGGGTGACTTAGACCCATTGAGGGTCCCCCGGCATGGCAAAATTAGCCGTGGGGGTGCGGAGAATCCACAAGCCCACGACCGGTCGATACTGTGCAAAACCGGAAGCCAGAAATTTCCTTTTATAAGAAGACTTGTTTTTGTCATCCAGAGATAGACAGGTACTTCTAATATACTGAAAGAACCAAAAGGTGCTATGCATGTGCCCTAGGTCTAACCTTAAGAAAAAACTGCATTTAAAATAAAAAAGTCTTCCATGCCTGAGCTTTGCAATTAGCCACTCGGAATGAACTTTGATGGCTTTTGAACAGGTCATCACAATGTGGTTTTTGAAAGAGATTTTAAGCAAAAGCAGATTGTTGATTTTACCCCCTATTCCATGACATCCCAATGAGATGCTGCCTAACCAGAAAGCCAGACACAAAAATGAGGTGTATCTGTGGAACATATGGTACTAGTTTCCTTCTCAATGATAAACACATGGATTTCCTTCATATCTTTGTCACTGTTTTAGCAACCCCAAAATAACTTGGACACTTCAAGTTGTACTCTGAAGTAATCAAGTGTATGTTCCAATAATGCAGCCTTGAACCTGGCAGCAGAAAAATTGAGTTTTGAGGAACCGTTCATAGAAATAATCTTCCCAAAGAACCTCGCATTTTAAGCAAGTGTGACAGATGTGTATGAAAATGCTGTTCAGCTTCTCACTAATAAGTGGATCTTTCAACTGGCTCAGTGAAGAAATGAAGTCAAATCACCAACAGTTCTAGAAACCACCACTAGCCTGTTTTGTTTTTCCCTGCCATAGTCTTTGGCAATAATGCCCCTTTTTTGTCAAAGGGGATGAGATCTATTGAATTAAGCACTTACCATGCCTTCCTTGATATATGCTGGGACTGAGTATCAAAATCATGAAATTTAAAGCAGTGTGGAAATGAATGATGGGAGTGCAAAGATTGTTTCATATGATACCAGCAGTAGCTGATTTACAAGTATGACTGTATCTGGAGGGACATCTGGCACTATGGTACATATCCTGGTCACTTTTAGGTTAGGCTGCTCTTTGCTCTCCTTCAAGAGTCTTTGGAAACTGCAACTGGTACAGAAAATGCCCACTGTAATGATTTTTAAACCATCATTGGAATTTCTTAATCTCAGCAACTACAAAATGTGTGGACTTCAACTCCCAGAATTTCCCAGACAGCATGCAGGGAAATTCTGGGAATTGAAGTCCACACATTTTACAGCTGCTGAGGTTGAGAAGCACTGAGCAACATGTCCACCTTTGAAATGGATTGAAATCAATATATTAATATTTATTAATAAAACCAGGTTTATATTCTGGGCACCGATGCTTAAAAGTGCTTAACCTTTCATTTGTAGCCTCCCATTTTTTAAGATTTCAGCACACAGATTTCTCTGATCATCCGATCTGATCTGATCTGAATTCTCTGATCTTCAGCCCATGCCCTCTATAGCAGGGCTTTTCAACCTTTTCACCCATTGTACCACTTTTAGGATATGGCAACATCCGAGTACCACCAGTCGCCTAGCAAGGTGTCAAAAACTTGATGACCCCCCCCAAAACAAAAAAGTGATAAAGTACAGGTAGTCCTTGACTTACAACAATTCGCTTAGTGACTGTTCGAAGTTACAATGGCACTGAAAAAAGTGCTCCCAAGCCACAGCCGAGCAAGACACCTGCCTGCCCGCCCAGCGGCGCTCTTCCTCCTGTCCAAGGTTTTCATTGTTGTGAGCATTTCTGTTGATTGGCAGTGGGGGTGGGGTGGGGTGTTCGGTTTTTATTCCCCCCCATCTGCAGGTTTTGGTCACTTCACATTACCCTGGGACACTGTGACCGTCATAAATATGAATTGGTTGCCAAGCATCTGAATGTAAATCACAAGACTCTGGAGATGCTGCAATATTCCAGCTGATTGTTGCTTCTTCTGGGCTCAGCAGAAGCACCAGGATCAGCGCCGAGCTCCAGCTGGATCCTGGTGCTGATCCTGGTGCTTCCACTGAGCCCTGACAGCCCCAAAAAAGCGCTGATCCTGGCGCTTCCACTGAGCCCTGACAGCCCTACAGCTCCAGCCGTCTCTTGCTCAGGCTTGTGCAGTGCTGCCACTGGTTCAGTTCATTCCTCTCCCCCGCTACCACTTTTCTAGGATGGTCGCGTACCACCTGCCAGGTGCCAATGTACCACAGGTGGTACCCGTACCACTGGTTGAAAAGCCCTGCTCTATAGAATAGTACACAGCTTTATTATTTAGTGTGGTACTCTAGGGAAAGAAGCACATATCCAAACTCCTCTTGCCATTTTTAGCAAATCCAGCTTTCTTAGGCCTGCTCACTAATGTAGTATATACCATTTTATTTCTGCAGGTGCTTCTTATCTCAGCAAATGGATAAAGGTTGATAGGTGGCTAAAACTGTGCCACTGCTCCCTCAAGCCCTCTTCATTGCCACCTGTTAACTTTACTTGAGTGCTACAACAGGTTAGTGCTGCATAAAGAGACAACAGGATGATGCTGGTTCTCTCTGAAGATCACTGAAGAGGCATAAAAGCTTTCATAGTAAATGCGTCAATAAAATTAGATAAAGGTGTATTTGCCCTTAGGTTTTGAAATGTTTCTTTGAATTACTTTTCAATAGGAACTTTTTGGTACATTTTAAAGATTATTTAGGCAGGCTTTAAATAGTTAATGTGATTAATTTTAAAGCTAAATTAATATTATAGTCTGCTTTTTGGGTTCTGAACACTTGCCACTTAGAGGTATGTTCTCTATGAGCTAAGTTATTTTATAATTATTATCAAATTTCACATCAGCTATAGTCCAATTTATACTGATGATCCAGTGTGGAAGAACAGAAGCCATGTCTCTTTTGCTGAAGATGAAAAGAAAAACAGGAATTTGTAGAAATTAAAATACATACATACACTTTTATTGGCAGCAATGAAGCTTTTTAAAAATGTGAGGCTGAGACATCATAAAAGAAATGAAGGTTCATAGTCCACTATTGATAGATTGTGCAGTTTCTCTTAAAGCATTCTTTTACTGCCAACTTGGGTGAGGTCGCCATCATTTTCTTCAACAAGACACTTTTCATCCTAGAAACAGCCTATTCACTGAAATGAAACACTAATGTAATTTGGCTCAGCAAAGTATGTTGTATCACTCAAGTACTTGGCTCAATAGTAATAACTGCAAGAGGGATGTTGGAGTCATAGTGGGCAATCTCTTAAATAGGAGTTAGCAGTGTGCTGCAGCTGCCAAAAGGCTGCATTACCAGAGGGATAGAATCAAGATCATGTGAAGTGCTAATGCTACTTTATAATGCCTTGGTAAGATCACATTTGGAATTTTGCATCCAGTTTTGGTCTCCATGATATAAAAAAGATATTGATACTCTAGAAAGCATGCAGAGGAGAGCAACAAAGATTAGGGGGCTGGAAGCTAAAACATACAAAGAATAGTTGTAGGAATTGGATATGTCTAGTTTAATAAAAAGAAGGACTAGGGGTGACATGTTAGCAGTGTTCAAATATCTAAGGAGCTGCCAAAAAGATGAGGAGGTCAACCTATTTCTCCAAAGCACCTGAAGGCAGAACAAGAAGCAATGGATGGAAACTAATCAAGGAGAGAACCAATCTAGAACTACGGAGAAATTTCCTTATAGTTATGATAATTAATCAGTGGAACAATTTGCCTCCAGAAGTTGTGAATGCTCCAACACTGGAGCTTTTTAAGAAGAGACTGGACAGCCATTTGTCTGAAATGGTATAGGGTTTCCTGCTTCAGCAGGGGTTGGACTAAAAGACCTCTAAGGTCCCTTCCAACTCTGTTATTCTATTATTCTGTTAATTTATGTGATGGATCTGAAAAAAGATTAGTTTTTGGTTATGAAAAGTCTAAGTTTAATTAATTATTACTAATTCAGTAAAAAGCAAATAAGAAAGGCAGAAAGTAAGGGCCCATCTTGATAAACTCTGTTTTTGTTTGTTTGTATCTTCAAAGCAATATTCTACCTGTTGTTGTTGTTGTTAATTGCAAAGTCATGTCCAACCCATCACGACCCCATGGACAACGTTCCTCCAGGTCTTCCTGTCCTCTACCATTTTCTGGAGTCCATTTAAGTTCACACCTACTGCTTCAGTGACTCCATCCAGCCATCTCATTCTCTGTCGTCCCCTTCTTCTATTGCCCTCAATCTTTCCCAGCATTAGGCCCTTCTCCAGTGAGTCCTTCTTCTCATTAGGTGGCCAAAGTATTTGAGTTTCAACTTCAGGATCTGGCCTTCTAAAGAGCAGTCAGGGTTGATCTCTTCTAGGACTGACCGGTTTGAACACCTTGCAGTCCAAGGGACTCGCAGGAGTCTTCTCCAGCACCAAAGTTCAAAGGCCTCAATTCTTTGGCGCTCAGCCTTTCTTATGGTCCAACTTTCACAGCCATACATTGCAACTGGGAAAACCATGGCCTGGACTATACGCACTTTTGTTGGCAGGGTGATGTCTCTGCTTTTTAGTATGCTGTCTAGATTTGCCATAGCTTTCCTCCCAGGAGCAAGCGTCTTTTAATTTCTTGGCTGCAGTCCCCATCTGAGGTGATCTTGGAGCCCCGAAAAATAAAATCTGTCACTACCTCCATTTCTTCCCCATCTATTTGCCAGGAATTGAGAGGGCCGGATGCCATGATTTTGTTTTTCTTAATGTTGAGTTTCAAGCCAACTTTTGCACTCTCCTTCTTCATCCGCATCAAGAGGCTCTTTAGTTCCTCTTCACTTTCTGCCATTAGAGTGTATCATCTGCATATCTTAGGTTGTTGATATTTCTCCCGGCAATCTTAATTCCAACTTTTGATTCATCTAGCCCTGCCTTTCTCATGATGTGCTCTGCATATAAGTTAAATAGGCAGGGTGACAGTATACAGCCTTTCCGGACTCCTTTTCCAATTTTGAACCAATCAGTGGTTCCGTGTTCGGTTCTCACTGTTGCTTCTTGACCCGCATATAGGTTTCTCAAGAGACAAATGAGATGGTCTGGTACTCCCATCTCTTTAAGAACTTGCCACAATTTGTTGTTATCCACACAATCAAAGGCTTTAGCATAGTCAATGAAGCAGAAGTAGATGTTTTTCTGGAACTCCCTAGCTTTCTCCATGATCCAGTGTATGTTGGCAATTTGATCTCTAGTTCCTCTGCCTCTTCGAAATCCTGCCTGTACTTCTGGTAGTTCTCGATCCACATACTGCTGGAGTCTAGCTTGTAGGATTTTAAGCATAACTTTACTAGCATGTGAAATGAGTGCAATGGTGCGATAGTTTGAACGTTCTTTGGCATTGCCTTTCTTTGGAATTGGAATGTAAACTGACCTTTTCCAATCCTGTGGCCACTGTTGAGTTTTCCAAATTTGCTGGCAAATTGAGTGTAGCACTTTTACTGCATCGTCTTTTAAGATTTTGAATAGCTCAGCTGGAATACTGTCACCTCCACTAGCTTTGTTGTTGCTCAGATTTTCTAAGGCCCATTTCACTTCACCTTCTAGGATGTCTGGTTCGAGGTCAATGACCATCTCATTGTGGTTATCTGGGATGTTAAGCTCATTCTTGTATAGTTCTTCTGTGTATTTTTGCCATCTCTTCTTAATCTCTTCTGCCTCTGTTAGGTCTCTGCCATTTTGGTCCTTTATCATGCCCATCTTTGCATGAAACGTTCCCTTCATACCTCCAATTTTCTTGAAGAGATCTCTGGTCCTCCCTATTCTGTTGTTTTCTTCTATTTCTTTGCACTGTTCATTTAAGAAGGCATTCTTATCTCTTCTAGCTATTCTCTGGAATTCTGCATTCAATTGGGTGTATCTTTCTCTTTCTCCTTTGCCTTTCGCTTCCCTTCTTTCCTCAACTATTTGCAAAGCTTCCTGAGACAGCCATTTTGCTTTCTTGCATTTCTTTTTCTTTGGGATGGTTTTAGTTGCTACCTCTTGTACAATGTTGCGAACTTCCATCCATAGTTCTTCAGGCACTCTGTCTATCAGATCTAATTCCTTAAATACCTGTAAATACCTGTAGGGCTGTTCAAATTATCAAGCAAAATTTGGGTGCAGTTAAAATATAATTATGCCTCATTCTAAAGGAGCAGAAGACAACAAACCTCTTTGCCAGTGCTGAATCCAGAAATTTCTGTACATAGGAGAAGGGGCCTCTTCTTACTCTTCACCTCAACTTGTGAAATGTCTTAGTCAGACTTACAGTCTGATGTTAAAAAAACCTGCCAATTTAGCATTAATGAAAACCAATTCTGAACAAAAGGGCACAAAAGAGAATATAATCAAATCCATATCATTTTGAAATAACGAAAATATTGAAGTCTCACCTAAAGGCTAGTTGAATGAAATCCAGACTATTGACTTCAAAGGGTCAATTTGATAGAAATTATTAGTAGTAAACTACGCCTGATTCTTGTTGAAGTAAAAAGCTAGATAAACTCTGCCAAGGATGCTTTTTAGGTCTAAAAAAGGGAAGAAGATGAACTTGAACAGCATTTTTGGCTAGGCTGCATGATGTGTGAAGGATTGGATCCAAAATTATATAAAAATGCTCTCTTTCCTGTACTCTTTCATGGAGCAGTCAAAAGTCTCTTAGTGAGCAGAACAAATATAATTGCTTGAAGGCATGGAAGCCTATTGCTGTTTTGGTCTTGGCTGTGAAAGTAAAATAAAGTGACATCTCTCTAGAAACAAAGGCTTGGAAAGTTGGCCTCTTAAATAATTCCATATGGTGTTATTGTGAAGTGAAGCAGTGAAGACCAGATAGATATGATACATTTATTATGTATTCTTCAGCTGTGTTGCAATCATGAGAATGGAAAGATAGGAAGGACAGATATACATGCCAGAGTTAATACTGATTGATCCATTGGCCTTTTGCTTTGTATTTTATTAATTTTCCATCATTACAATTCATTTGTGTTTAATGAACATGTTGTCTGGGTTAATCTTTTGCTTAGTCATAAAATTAAGTTCTTGCTCTCTATCTTGTTTTTCCAATCATTGATAAAATAGGTCCCATGTTGGAGACAACGTCCAAGCTATTGAAAATGATAGAAGAATTTGGAGAAACAGCAGGATTGAAAATAAACAGAGGAAAAAAATCAAAGGTCTTTTCTTTTCTTTACTAGGTAACTGCTGCTATGTCTCCTGATGATAAATATAATTAATAGTCTATACTGATTTTCTATTCTGTTTGAATCCTGTAAGATAAACCTTTGCAATAAAGTAAGATGAACCACTCATCTGCACACTAGGATAAAGTCAATAAAGTACATGTCTTGCAACACTATATAACATATTTGTGTAGAGTTCAGAGTTCTAAATCAGCTTCTGATCTCTTTATATTTGTATATATTACTAGACAGCCCTGACATTTTTTATTGAGGTGCATAAGTAATAAAACTGTCAGTGGGCAGAAGGGAAAGCCTACCAAAGTTGAATTCATTGCCAAGATCCAGCCTAGCCTTATTTATTAATTTATTAACTATTTCTATACTACTCATTATAGAAAATCCCCAAGTACCTTATAATTCCTCTAGTGATAAAACACCCATGAGTCCCGGAGACAGGCAGTTCTCCTGCTTAATAGCTGTCTGGAAATTTCTCCTTATTTTGAGTTGGTCATCTCTCTGTAAAGCTACTACCCATTGACACCAGTCCTATTCTTCGGTGCCATATAGAATAAATCCATATCCTTTTCACTGTGATAACTACCAAGTCTCTCTTTAGACTGCTTTTCTTTAACTTAAATATACCCAGTTCCTTTGTCTGTTCCTCATAGGATTAACCTCCAATTTTTTTTAAACATCTTTGTTGATTTTATCTGTAATCTGTCCTGTATCTCAGCATCCTTTTTACTAGACACAGTATTCCAGGTATAGACTCACTCAGATGGCATGGAATGGGATTATCATTTCCTGGGATACCAACACTATAATTTGCAAAATTTCATTGGGTATTTTGGCAACTGCAGCACATTGTTGGCTCATGCTTAATTTATGATCTATCAGGACCTCTAGCCCCTCCTCACAAGTACAAATACTACTGCTTAGCCAGGTATCACCAATTTCACCTCTCACCTGTGCATCTAGTTTTTCCTAGTTAAATGCAGATTCTTACATTTGTCACCACTGAGCTGCATTTTTTATCAAATAGCCACTCACAAGGTACATGACTCAGGGCGGTGTATTATCAGCAATACAAAATGACAGAGTAAATAAATGATTTTTAAAATGCTGGGAAAAAAATATCTCATTGGTTCATACCACTCCCCCAATCAAGTAACTAGTGGAAGAACCATGTTTTAAATCCCTTTTAAAAGGCAGGCAGGGCCAGAGCCATACAGGGTTCCAAAGAATGGGGATAGTAACTGAGAAGGCATGTTTCCTGGGGCTTGTCAGTACCTAAGGAACAGCAACTGCTAAAGTAACACAGTCACGAATCATGGATGGCTTTATTCATGAGAATCAGCATCTTGAATTGCATTCAACATACCAGCGCACCTTACAAAATGGGACATGAGCACACTGAGGTTTCCCCATAACTACCTATGCCACTGCATTTTGGAGTAGCTTCAGCTTTAGAGTGATCATCAAAAGCCAAGGAATGAGTATCCTTGACCAGGCTCTCCTGATCTAATAGTGAATGCAATTGACACACAAGTTGGAGGCCCTTTGAACCATGGGTGCCACCTGCAGTTCAGATAGGAGCTGTGAGCTAAGGAGAAGCCCAGAAAGAGAAAAAAACATTGCAACACTATGCCTTCCACTTACAATCCAAAGTATAACATGATCGATCAATGAGAGCCAAGATGGATGCACCACCTTCATGCTCTTCCCACCACATGTCGTCAACAAGTATGATCAGTGCTGTCTTTTTACTTTGCCATGTCTGAAATCTGTCTGGAGGGGATTTGGTTAATCTTAATACATAGCCCTGACAATCTTCTCAGCAATTTTCCCTAAAGAAGAAGGGTTGGAGGCCGGCCTGAAATTATCCAGCACATTTGGATCCAGCAATAGCTTCTTAGCAAGGCAATAATTCCTGCTCAAGCATAGACAGGATCACTTTGTGTCTCAAAGATGAGTTTACCAATGCTTGAATCTAACCCCATGCCATTTTCTAGAAGACCTTCAGAAAGTAGGAAGATTATTGATTTAAATGCAAATGGACAGACTCACCACTGTCTACTACCTTAGGACCAACAGGATCAAAGTCTTCCCAGAGAACCATGTCTGTTTGTACCTCAACCAGTTCCATAAGACCTGCATAGCTAGCATCTAAACCCAAGTGGATCTCAGCATTTTTATCCCAACATATAGTATGTTATGAAAAATCCTCACCATAGCCCTGCTGGTGATGTTCCAGTCCAGTTCTACCCAGAAAAGGATAGGTTACCTTAAATATAGCTGCCAGACAGCAATCTGCAGACACAATAAGAAGAGGAAAATAATTCAGATTTGCCACTCTTAGTGACATAGTGTAAACCTTAATAAATATTCTTACTCAAGCCTGAGCAGATTTCCTTCATTTTCTTTCAGTGACGATCTAGGCCACCATTTTATGAAAATATTGAGACATAATAGGCTCAGGACTAAATCCTAAGGTACCCCACTACATAACTTATTCCATATATCCATTGATCCATTAAAGTCTATGTGCTGGGTATTATTGTTCACTAACAATAAATTTATCCATTCCACATTGTTCCATATCAATGAGACTATGGTCAACTTTATTAAACACCTTACTGTATTGGAATTTAAGTCTACTACCTCAATTGCATTCCTTTCGTCTGCTAATCTGATAATTTTGTCAAAAAATGTACACAGTGAGGGAGATTACCTTGATAGAAATAGAGCAGATCTGTTATCAAAACTACAAAGGAAAAATATGTTTTAAGTTCAAAGCAAGAAGAAGATTTGTGTGAGGGACTCAGGCAAACAGCTCCCTAATTCACATAAATTGAGGGGAGGAGTGAAACAATGTTAGCACTTCTTCAATCTTCTTGTACTTCCCTTGTACTTCAGGAATTCTCAAATATTATAGTTAGTGTTTCTGAGAACGTATCCATCAGTTCCTTTAGTGCCCTGAGTTGTAATTCCTCTGGTCCTGAAGATCTGAGTTTATTCAAAGCAGCTAGGTATTCTCTTACCAATTCCTTATATAATGTATTTTGACCTGTATTTCTTTTCTGCACCCCTCCTCCCAAGGTGGCTTCTGACATGTTAGGTCACTCTTTCTTTACAAAAGACCCATGAGAAAGAGGAATTGTTCAGCCTTCTTTTCTGTTCTCTATAACCATCTTGCCAGCTGTTTTTTACAATAAATATGGGGTAGAAAGCATGACTGTTAACTCAATTAGTCTTGAGAAAGGGGCTGAAAATACTAGAATGAAATTTAGTAGAGATAAATACAAAGTATTTCATATAGGAAACCGTAAAATAAACAGATACTGTATATAGTGTAGGACACCGGCTTCCCAATAATAAAATAGGTCTCAGAAAAGAAATAAATTGCAAACTGAATATAAGTCAGCAGTGAATGTAGCTGAAATAAAAACAAACAAACAAAATTTTAAATTACTTTAATAGAAATACATTTTCCCAATAATGGAAAGAAGTACTTCTGTTTTATTCTGTGATGATCAGATTCTTTTTAAGTATCGCATCCAGTCTTGGTTCTACATTTTAAGAAGGGAAAAAAAATGGAACACATTCAGGAAAGGGTAACAATGATGAACCTTAGTTCTTGAAAGAATTTAGCCTTGAAAAGAAAATATTCAGTGGGAATAAGATAGTTCTGGTTAAACACCTGGAAAGATGTCTAGCAAAATAAGATTTGAAGTGGTACTTTGCAACTATAGTTACAGGGAGGCATATTTTGGATAAATTCTATGGAAAAAATATTATACAAATAAGAGCAGTTTAGTCGTGGAATCAATTACCCAGAGAAGTAAGGACGGGCTCCCCTTTCTGAATGCATTAAAGCAATGATCAGGTGTCTGTCAGCGATGTTTTAATTTGGATCCATGCATTGAGAAGAGAATCAGATTAGATGGCCTAAAAGCCACCTTTCAACTATGATTCTAATAAATTAAATTATAGTAGTCTGGCACCTTTCGGCACTTTGTAAAAGTCTGCTGTGATTTTTTTTTAAATTTTCCATCCATTTTTGCCTCTCTCATACTTGTGACATTCTGATGAGAAGACTAATGTAATGATCATTAATTCAGTTGTAATGCTGTGAACACACACACACACACACACACACACACACACACACCACATGTGGCAAGGTTTGTCTTTCAAGTGGTTCAGGGCACCATAACTCTCAGATGCCGATGGAAAATTGCAGCCTTCTTTTTTTTGTCCCCCCAAAAGCAATTATTTTGTTGACCCTCAGGGTCTATACCTCAAAGAGACTCAAAGTCAGGCTTGGACCTGCTGCTCTGGCAAATTCCAACATACTCAATTACTGACCTAAGAAGGAGTCAAGCATTCCAGAGATTACAGGCCCTGGGAGTTGGCTTCACCAATGCACTCCAAACAATATGTAGGCACCATTAGCCTGCCTTTTCCAGTTAGCAAATGAGATATGTCTTAAGGCGAAATAGTTATTAACAGTCAAGGGCAGGGGCTACAGTCCTAATTGGAAACAGCAACATCTGCCAAGGGAAAGTAATAAAAACAAAGAACAAGGAGGTATAGCAAATGAATTATGATACATTTAGGCAATCATTCTATGAGGACATTTTTTAAACAGAAACAAAGAGAATTTCCATTGCCCTGAGAATTCAGGTTAACCTCAGTTGCTGAAAAGTATGCAAAGGATTAATTCTGCTCAGGTTTGCCAATTTCATTATAATAACTTCAGCACATTTCCCAGGTCTTATAGCATTTGTGTCACTTTTATTGGGAAAGGCTTTTTTTCCATCAGAGAAGGAGGAAACAGAGAGATAGACAATAATTTTCATCCCTTTCTTGACAAGACAAGTACTTTAATAACAGAACACTTTGAAGTGATGTAGCTGTTTAGGATGGCTGTCAGGCTGGATTAAGTATTTGATTTAGACTGTACATAAATGATATCTTGTCAAAAAAAATAATAACAAAAACATCCTAAACAAGTTTATTCAGAAAGGGATTTGGCAGTTTTCTGTTCTTCTAAACCCTTTTTTAAATCTTAAACTTCTATTTATGAAGAACCTGGCAAATTTTACCCTAATAAC